TTTGATGGAACTTGGTATTTCTTAGGATTAATGAAGAATTTGGGACATAGTGGATATAACCTTAGAAATACAAATGAATACTGGAATGTAGTAATATTGGTATTTAGGTCATTCAAAAGGGAAAAGAAGAAGTTAGGCGATGAGCTAACTTTCCCGAAAGTCTTCCACCTCAATAATGTGAATGCATGGTTACTTTCATAATCCTAATTTTAATGCAAGTAATTATTAAAAGCATGTCTTATATGTAGGGCTGTAAACGAACTGAACGTTCGGCGAACCGTTCGGCGGGAAGTTCGTTTATGTTCGTTTATTTAATAAATGAACGAACATGAACAAAAATTATCGTTCGTTTAGTTAAATGAACGAACATGAACAATGGTCCCGTTCGTTCATTTATGTTCGTGAACGTTCGTTTATGATGTTCATTTACGTTTGTTTAAGTTTATTTATATTCATTTATATTCAATTATTTTTAATTATATTGCTATATTATATGTTCGTTTATATTCATATATGTTTAATTGTGTTTTTATTGTCTTTATTCGTTTATGTTTGTTCGTTTATATTCGTTTAGCATGTTCACGAACATAAATGAACGAACATGAACAAAGTAATTTGTTAAACGAACGAACATGAACAAGAAAATCTCGTTCATTTATCTGTTCGTGTTCATTTGTCGTTCGGCTAACTTAAACGAACGAACATGAACAAGACCTTGTTCGTGTTCGTTTGGTTCGTTTACCGCCCTACTTATATGTAAGCATGTAGTTACTTTCATAAACATGATTTTAAGATAAGTATTTAATATCAATTGAATTCTTATATGTGAACTGAATGCTTATTATTTGGAATATGTGTTAAATGTATATTTGGTAATACTACATGACATATACTATATAAGTCAAAATTGGTTATATATGTACTAAGTGTATATTTGATAATACTACACAACAATCTTAATAAAAGTATGATTAATTGAAAGATTAAATGTTTACCGCATACTTACTAATTATACTTCGTGCTAAACATGTACATGATATTGTGATAATATTACATGAATAGGTAAACTGTATTGGGAGTGATTAGAGGAACAATAATTTGGTCTAGTTATAAACTAAGGCTTGTAAATGATACTTAGTTCGACGTAAGCTGAATAAGCGAGTAGCCTCATTTTGGGGTAAGATGTGAGATTAAAGTGGAGTAGTCCTCCTCTTTCTAGATAGCCAAAAATGGTGGATCTGTATCAAACAACAAGAGGGTATGTGTGGTCATCTACCAGAGTAAAATGACAACACTTGATAATTATATATAGTTTTGTGAATTATGTTTTTAGTGTGGACTTATAACCCACAAACGTAGATGAAATGAGATACAATATTTATCAAATACTATGAGGCTTGGGTTGCCTTTATGACTTACACCAACCAAGGAATCCCCTAACTGTATAGTGAGATTGTTGCTCTAAACGATTCATTAATTAAGGTGATTCTTCCAGATGATCGTGTATTAGGATTTATGAGAACCGATTGGGTTGGGTATGAATGGGTATATTCTCTTATAGATATCTTCGTTGGATTATATATCTATATTGTTGGTAATGTTGGTTTTACAGGATATTATATATGATTTATTATTATAATAATATTATGGGATTGAAAATCCTATATGTCTCACCAGGTTCCTAAACTCAACCCACTCAAACTATATGCATCATAGGTAGCAGTGCTAATGCTGTTGGAACTTGATTATGATGCCAAATGATTCAAAGACAACTTGTAATAGTATTCAGGACCGATAAGTCTTTACGATGTAGCTCATGTTATGTATTGATTATGACATCCTTAGGGCTTTGTTATTTTGAAACTACATCTATACTTAAATGTTTTAATATACTGAGATTTTTTGCAAAGACAACGTGTTTTAGAAAGCATAAATACATTTTTTTTTGGTTATGTAAAATAGGGGATGTCACATAAAATGTTGTGAATTAATGAATATATTTGATATTTATTGTATTTCATTGAAGTTAAAATGGAGAAATATAAAAAAAAAAATAGACATTCAAACAAAAATATTAATGTTTGAAGAGGTTACAAAAATTAGACATTCGAAAGAAAAAAGATAGGCATTTGAAGAACATAAAAAAGATATTCGAAAAATTAGTGTTTCTCTTATGCTAGAAGATGTCTGAATATGTTAGAAAACTATATTCTACATCCGCGTCATGAAGAGGACGCATATACCTTTTTAGGTTTTATAGTCTTCTAAAAAAAACAAATGACATGCAAACACTAATGTCTACGCGTAGTTTGCACGATGCAGACAAAAAAGACCAAGAAATATATAGACAAATAAACACCACCTAAATGACTATGTGATAATAGATGTAGTTTTGTTGTAATAAATCTATCATGGATTCACAAACCCAATAAATGATGGAATCATTGTTTTGGATGGTTGGAATCAAGGATCTAATGGTTAAATGATAGAATCCCACTTAGTTTTTTAACATTTATTTATGGAAATGATGAATTGATGCATTGATTATGATTGAGATGCTTAACATGAAGGATCACTTGACTTTAAACTGATTCTAAGGATTGTTAACACATTGGATAGGAGAGTTTAAAACTTGAATGTGGTAAGTATGGATTTCATTTGTTGAATGATGAATTCAAGGAAATCAAATAACTAATATGATTAGATGATGTTCATATGTATTAAATTGATACCTGGAGTGATGAAATGGACGATAAACATGAAGAATTACTTAATTGATATGTGATCTAATGCATATTTATTCATAAGGGCATTTTTCGAACCATGGAATTGAATTGGTAATTTCGTAGTTACATTAAGAGCTTATAAACCTTTAGATCGTGAAGTAGCATGATTTTATGCATTTGGAAGCATCCATTTGAATATTTATTAATGGGTTTGGAATGAATCGTATTGCTAGTTGAAGGTTCTATTTCAAAATTAAGCTAATAAGCCATTTATATAGAATTTAAGGGACACTTGAACTTTAAGTACATGTTAGTTGAAGGTTCTATTTCAAAATTAAGCTAATAAGCCTTTTATATAGAATTTAAGGGACACTTGAACTTTAAGTACATGTTGAGCACTTTATGGGAATAAGTTCTCATGTAAATAGAATGTATGTGGGTATCAATGAGCTTCATAGAGTTGTTAGGTTCCTTAGAGTCATTTAAGTGAGTTAAGAAAGGTTTGGATGCATTGGGACCAAAGTATAACACTCATAATGAAGTTTGTGATGTTTTTCGACTATTGGACATGACATGGGTCATGTCTTGAGTTATGTGAAAAAGTATTTGGTTGTCCTTAAAAGGTGCATAACTTTTTCATCCAAACTTAAAATCATGTGTGGTTTTTTCTTGCCTTCACATTTTAACATGAAAAATACATTGCAATAGAAAAATTTAAGATTTAGGATTAAGAGCTTAATAAGTGGCTTAATAGGATTTTGATACACCTTTTGATGCTCTTATGTGATACTTGAGCTCCTAGATTATTTTTAAAGTGGAAGAGCAATATTAAGAGCTTTTATCTACCATGAGGGTTAAGAAGTACAACTTAGGACTAATGTAAGTTACCGGAAACACACATTGCCTACCTTACTTTGAGTTTTATTTTGTTTATCCTAAATGCTATTGCTTGCTACGAGATTAATATACATACTTGTGCATCATGAAATATTATTTTGGTAAATAGTTTGATTATAAAAGCAAAAACTTATATTTGAAAATGAATAAAACATCCTACTTGTGCATATCATGCTAGGATGGGTGTGATTATGAGATCCTGGGCACCTAAATGGACACCTATTTTGTTTTGTTTTTATAACATCCTAATTTTTTTAAAGAATATATTTAAAACCAATTATAAAAGAAAACATCCATGATATCATTCCATTAAGACTTTATGAACAAAATATTAGAGTATGCTAATAACATTTCATAACAAAAATGCAGAAGTCTAAAACAAGGTATATCATTATAATTGTTATGGATAATTTGACTTAACACCATTGAAGTCTTTAAATAAATATACGAGAGCTCATAGGAATTTATATGTGTCATTTCCTTGAAGATGTTAATAAATAACAGGTAAATGAAACACTTAGCGAGCATACACAATACTCAACCATTATATCAAACATATAAGTCTACGTAATATATAGCTTAAACATATATTGTTGGAATCAACTCTACCCTAAAGTAAACTGACTCCGACAAATGGACTTTTCAAATACTGCTATATAAGAACTCATCATTTTCTCCTGAGAGATATCCGACAAATCTATAGTGATGAAAAATAGATTAGTCTTATATACATGTTTTGTTGCGGTGTAACTAAAAATAAGAAAAAAAAGAACATGGTGAGATGAGATGCAACCGAAAAGGAATAAACTATAAAATTAAGAAACCATAATAGACAAAATATACGAATAAACAACGTACAAAAAGATAAAACCATAACCAAAATATGAGTATAAGTTAGCACGAAGAAACAACATACAAAAAATTAAAACCATAACCAAAAGATGAGTATAAGTTAGCATGAAGAAACAACATACAAAAAATTAAAATCATAACCAAAAATTGTTGCTGCTTAATTTTTCAAAACTTTGAATCTCGGATCAAAATGCCAATTTCATTAAACCTCGAAAACAGTCTCTATAAATTATTCTATATAAGTTAACGTCATAAAGAAGTTAGTTATTAAGCTTTTTGATCCAAAATAATATTTGGAAAATTTATCGTTTAAACATATAGACTTTGTAACGAATGATCAAAAACATAACTCGACGATCCAAACCCGATCTCAGAGACCACTTTCACTGTGTACTCCGGCGAACGCATTGCCGCTAACCACCATCATTCTGGCGGATCCACCGCACAACCATCAACAATTCAGTTCAATTGAACCACCATAATTCACAACATCCCGTGTAGATCTAACCGGTTAAATCTGGGGGGATGGCTTTTGCGGAAGCCGAATCCCGCCTCATCAACAGCATCCTAGTCCCGGCCCTAGATAAAATCATCAAGAACAGCTCTTGGCGCAAACACTCAAAACTCGCTAACGAATCCAAATCAGCACTCGAACACATCACTTCCGCCGAGAAAGCCCATCGTCTTTCCCATACATCCGAAGACAACCAATCGGATGTTGATCGGTCATCACAATCGTCAGTTCCGGGGGGTCCTACATGATTCGGGCACCAACGAACTAACCCTAGTCGAATCAATACTCATCTTAAGCCCTATCATCAACGCTTGCTCTTCCGGCAATGTCAAGATTGCTGAGCCAGCGCTAGATTGTATACAGAAGTTGATTGCCCATGGATATTTACGCGGCGAAGCGGACCCCACTGGTGGACCCGATGCAAAGTTGTTAGCAAAATTGATCGAATCAGTTTGCAAATGTCATGAGTTTGGAGAAGATGGAGTGGAATTGCTGGTGTTGAAGACAATTTTATCGGCAGTGACGTCTGTATCTTTGAGGATTCATGGTGATAGTTTATTGCAGATTGTAAGAACTAGCTATGATATTTACTTAGGGAGTAAGTCTGTGGTTAATCAGACAACGGCAAAGGCATCATTGGTGCAAATGCTTGTGATTGTGTTTAGGAGGATGGAAGCTGATTCAGCGTCTGTACCAGTGCAGCCAATCGTAGTGGCAGAACTGATGCAGCCTATGGAGACGGGGGGAGATGGTGATGGAACAATGACAGTATTTGTTCAAGGGTTTATTAGTAAGGTTATTCAAGGAATGGATGGGGTTTTGAATCCAGGGACTCCAGTAGGTTCAAATGCTGGTGGTGGGGTGCATGATGGAGCGTTTGAGACAAAGACTTCAACCGTAGAGTCCACAAATCCTGCTGATTTGTTGGATTCTACAGATAAGGATATGTTGGATGCCAAATATTGGGAGATTAGCATGTATAAGACGGCATTAGAGGGGCGAAATCGGGAATTGGCAGATGGGGAGGGTGACAGGGATGATGATGCAGAGGTTCAGATTGGGAATAAGCTTAGAAGGGATGCATTTTTGGTGTTTCGAGCTCTTTGTAAGCTATCAATGAAGACTCCTCCAAAAGAAGCATTGGCAGATCCACAGTTAATGCGAGGAAAGATAGTTGCTTTGGAGTTGTTGAAGATTTTGTTGGAGAATGCTGGGGCTGTCTTTAGAACTAGTGAAAGGTACACACTTATGCTCTGTTTTCCTCTTCAATGTTGATAATTAGGATGATGTTTCTTTTTATGTTGAAATTTGAGTGGAATTGACACCAACTTTTTCATGTTGAGGCCAAATAACCACATAAAAAGAACTTATGAATTCTAAAACATATCATATGCTGTAGTTTCTTGATAGTTTGCCTTTCATGCTAATCTTCTTTTTTCCCTTCTATCGCGGAGCAGATTTTTAGGTGCCATTAAGCAGTACTTATGCCTGTCTTTATTGAAGAACAGTGCATCAACCCTTGTAATTGTATTTCAGCTCTCTTGCTCAATTTTCATTAGCTTGTTATCAAGATTTAGAGCTGGATTAAAGGCAGAGATTGGAGTGTTCTTTCCCATGATTGTTCTCAGAGTTCTAGAAAATGTTGCTCAACCTAATTTTCAACAGAAGGTGATAGTACTCCGATTTCTTGAAAGACTATGTGTTGTTGATTCACAGATCTTGGTAGATATATTCGTCAACTATGATTGTGATGTCAATTCATCCAACATTTTTGAAAGGTATCAAATATTATCAACACATTAATGTTTACTATCAACCACCTTGAAAACTATACTGTTAGTCAACCATGGTTAATCTTTTCACAGAATGGTCAACGGGCTGCTTAAGACTGCCCAAGGGGTTCCACCTGGAGTTGCAACTACACTTTTACCACCTCAGGATGCTGCCATGAAACTGGAAGCTATGAAGTGTTTAGTAGCTGTTTTGAAATCAATGGGCAACTGGATGAACAAACAATTGCGCATTGAGTTGGTTGAAAACACTTCTGAAATTCTAATTCCTCCAATAGAAAATGGGATTTTAAATGAGAATGAATCTGTTGACATATCGGATTCTCATTCTGAAACCTCTACTGAAGTTTCAGATGCTTCAACAATTGAGCAACGTCGGGCTTACAAACTTGAACTTCAGGTAAATATATTAATCAAGAAACAACCCTTTACCTCAATGAAGATGTTAAGTCATTCTGTCTAGATTAAGTAAAAAAGAAACAACCCTTTACCTCAATAAGCCAATCAACCTGAGTTAATGTTATTTTAGGGATCTAATGTATGATAAATGGCAGGAAGGTATATCTCTTTTTAACCAGAACCCCAAAAAGGGGATTGAGTTCTTGATCAATGTAAACAAGGTGGGGGATTCACCTGAAGAAATAGCAGAGTTCTTAAAGAATGCATCTGGTCTAAACAAGAGTTTGATCGGTGATTATCTTGGGGAAAGAGATAATCTACCACTGAAAGTAATGCATGCATATGTTGATTCATTTGACTTTCATGGTATGGAGTTTGATGAGGCTATTAGAGTCTTTTTACGTGGCTTTAGATTGCCTGGTGAGGCACAAAAGATTGATCGGATTATGGAAAAGTTTGCTGAACATTACTGCAAATGCAATCCAAAGGCCTTCAGTAGTGCTGACACAGCTTATGCCCTTGCTTATTCTGTTATAATGCTTAATACTGATGCTCATAATGACACAGTCAAGAATAAGGTATCATCAAAAAGTTTTACTACTACCAAATAGAGTAAATTACAAAAATGGTCCTTTTGATATCAGATTTTTACCCTCTTTAGTCCAAAATCAAAACCCTTTTCAGTTTTGGTCCTTATTTCAAGGTTTGAGGACCAAGAGTGAAAGATGTTTCAATTTTGGACCAAATACGGTAAAAATCAAAGAGTACAGGGACCATATTTGTAATTTACTCTAGCAAATGTGTTTACTCGGCCTAAAAGTTGTATTTCTGCAGATGTCAGCTGATGATTTTATAAGAAATAACCGTGGAATAAATAATGGAAAGGACTTACCTGAGGAGTACCTAAGAGCATTGTTTGAGCGTATAGCAAAAGATGAAATTAAGATGAAAGAAGACGATTTTGCCCTTCAACAGGGGCAGTCTGTAAACTCGAATGGGGTTTTGAGTGTAGATGGTATATTGAATATTGTGGTGCGTAAAAATATTGAAGAAAATCAAACGAATGAGGATCTTATGCGACACATGCAAGAACAGTTTAAAGAAAAAGCAAGCAAATCAGAGTAAGATGAATTATCTATTTGAGTTGCTTATTTTCCTTTCAGTATTCATCACTGTAACTTCTTGAGTAAATTACATAAATGGTCCCTGTGCTTTCTGATTTCCATCATCTTAGTCAAAATCAAAACCTTTTTCAGTTTTGTTTCTCAGTTCTTCTTGGTTTCATATCGATTTTGGTCCCTCAAACATTGAAATTAGGATTAAATCAATATGAAACCTTGAATTAAGGCCCAAAACTGATAAAAAAAAGTTTCAATTTTTGGACTCAGAAAGAACAGGGACCATTTTTGTAGTTAAATCTAGCCTCTTTGTTTTGTCCCCTAAAATGTTAA